TAAAGAGCTGTACCATCTTGGCCGAGGCTATACCACACCTTCATACCGAAACATTGGAAACTGTTGTTGAGATTCAGTTCCATGCTGTTCGTTCGATCGAAACCGACAGTGAAAAATTTGCTAGAACCACCATTTTATCACTTTACTCTGCAGTCCTAAGCTCTAGGAAATAAGAATTAAGGAGGGCGAATGAGTATTTCTCATTTCTCACTTTTTTTCAATTTCTCGACCCTGAATCAATTCTAGAAATAATCGAATATCAAACTTCAGACTGGGAAACTTGAAAACCCTGAATTAATTCTAAAAATAATTCCCGATTTCTCTCAGAAGTTGTCTATGATTAAAATACTCTTGTGTCGTGTGAGGTTGTCAGGTGGAACAATTTATCAATTCAAGGGCCTAACGTTTCGACGCTATCTTCTTTTGCAGAGGCCTAAAGCAATTCGAGATGATTTGCACAGTATCCAAAAACGCGTCTTCCCCTTTGGCGAATGTGACGAAAAATTTAAGCCCACAAGTCAAATCTTAACACACCAGGGTTTCACCGCTCAAGCGGATGTGAATCCGCTGTCGTCACAGGCGACTGTCAGTAGCGAATAAGACTTTTTGTGTTGTCTCCCTTATACTTGTGATAAGGAAGATCACGTCTTAATGCTACTGAGTCATAGGCCGCAATGCGGTATATACGGCAAAAGATCTTTGGTTATAGACGGGCGCTCATCTCTACCGTTCACTTTAGGACTTCTTTGAAAGATCCAGAACGCCTCTAACGTTTTTCTGGCTGGAATCTCCGTCTCCTGCGCTAATATTCAAAGTTGTTGCCGTTGTGCTCCTCAATTTTATGCCTACCAAGCGATGTCATCAGGCTGCCACGCCTCATACTAGCTAGATGCTCTTCTATCCGTATAGTTAGTTGTCTTCCCCTTCTTCCGAAGTATGTTGACCCACATGTCCACCATTCCATTTGGTAGATCACGCCTATCAGTGCGTTATCACCCGTTTTCCTGTAAGGACATACGCTGCAGTCTTTCGTTATGCACTGCTTGTCGTAGAGCCTGTTCCGAACTAATAGCTGCTAGATGTAGTTATTAGGAATTTTCATTTGTTGTACAACATCTTGCAACCCAGCTCTGAAAATGCTCCGCCGTATAGCATTACTAACTTTACGGAGATAAAGGGAAGACATAAAAGCAATCTATTTCGGGGCATAGCACACCACGTGTTAGTGCGATATTTTCTAAGACCTCGTGATGCCGTATAACCGTACACAACAGCTATCTCACAAGCTAATCGTCGTGATTCGAGACGTTCAGCCTCAACAGTGCAGACACTTGTTACGGTTCTCAACATGTTGCTGATGACTGCACGTTCAACGGCTTGTAGATGAGCTGATGTAGCGTGAAGTAAGATATTCTTGGAACCAGTTTCACGGTACCACTTCACACTAACAACGCCACTGGATACCTTGGCCTGGGTGTTGAGGTAAGGGAGCCAACCATTACTTCTGCCGTATATACCGCACTGCGGCTTATGACTCAGCAGCATTATGACGTGATCTTCCTTATCACAAGTACAAGGAAGACAACACAAGAAGTCTCATTCGCTGCTGACAGTCGCCTATGGCGACAGCGGATCTACATCCGCTTGAGCGGTGGAACCCTGGTGAGTTAAGATTCGAATTGAGGGTTTAAATTTGTTGTTACATTCGCCAAAGGGGGAGATGCGCTTTTTGGATACTGTGCAAATCATCACGAATTGCTTTAGGCCTCTGCAGAAGGCAATACCGTCGAAACGCTGACCGTTAAGTTAATAAATTGTTCCACCTAACAATCTCACACGGCACAAGAGTATTTTGCTCATAAACAACTATGCTGAGGTCAAAGCAGGAGAGAAGTTGGAGACTATTCTCTCAAAAGTTTCATCGCTGTGTACAGTTACCTGTTCAGGAAGCCCTCTACACGAGTTCAACGCCAGTCTCCTCGAAGATACTAATCAGATATACTTTGCTGGCCCTTTTTTGCCTCCTATTAATTTGTTCTTCGTGCACATCAGTGGAGAAGATAAAAGAGTAAGTGAGCACGCCATGCTTTTCAGCACTGTTGTACAATTCTTGTCGATAAGTCTTTCCAGGGGTACAAATTTCAACGGATTGCGCCGACTGCCATTGGAACCGTAACTGCCAGTAGACTACGTGTGTACATGAATACAACCATCTCTGTCGTGGAAGCAACGGTGACTGAGATTTTTTGAAAGAGCTCTCCATAATATTCTCGCTGAATCGATATGCACTCTTCCCCCATTCGGTTAACCCAGACAACGTCTCTTCAGGAGTTTTGAGTTCGCACACCGTTCCAGTGGAACCATCAAATGCCAGGAAAGCAAAGGGATTGACGGATGGCTAGGATGTTTAAAGAATATGTAATGAAAGGGATGTTCCTAAGAGACAACACATAGGTTAGGTTCGCGGTGGGTGACGTTCTGAGCTAATTGGCTAGATACTGTGCTCTCCGCTGGTAGAACTTGAAGCTCACCCGAATTATTTGTAACAGTTTTTTTCGCCTGCAGAGTGGCTCCTTCTTGCTATTTTTGTAAAGCGTAGATCATGATATGCTCGTGAATAAGACTGGTATCTCATTGCACTTCATCGCCGAGCTCTTTCTCCTAAAAGACAATGCGGAGTCATTAATAGCCTTCATGCGTGATCTTCATTGTGCGAATGCTCGTCATCCCTCCCACCCATTCTTATCACTTGATTTTTTACAAGCGCTAAATCGAATGCTAATCTTTCTTTCTCTTTCATCCCTTCTCGTTCTCCATTCTACGACATTAAAGAGATTGATTTCGCTGAAGCAAGCTTCCTCCACCCCTCAACCCTCTCCCCTTTCCTCTCAATATGCACTTTCATCATGTTGACAAAGTTTCAAACAGCGATTAATTGCTCTGAGTGTGTGCCAGTGGTGCTACTATTTGTGATTTTATTGTGGGCTGATGCGGTCTTTCGTTCTCTTTATGCATCCTTCGTGCAGTATACTTGGCAAGACGTTTGAACATCAAAGCCAGGAATATGAATATTGGAGATTTCAGTCAAAAAATACTTCTGACATAAGATTGCAGGAAAGAATTTAGATCAGATGTGTTTTTGAATGGCTGTTTTAAGCCCAAGTTTGTGATCTGCGAAACGATTCTATCACAAGAACGAGGTTACAAAACCGCTTTTCTTTTATATGGCACGGATAAGCATGCTGAATGGGATTCAGTGTGAAGCAGCAGGAAAGGTGAGGGACTTACAGGCGTAAAATAAATATTTGTATCCGCAATGCATATTTTGCAGTTCCATGACGTGAGCTTTTTTTCGCAGCGAAAATAATTTTCTTCTTCTACTCTGTGTTCATATATCATAAGCAGCCAAGAAGTGCTCACAATTATTACGTTTATTTTATGTTTAATAAATAGTACGCCGTGTAAGGCAACACAAGAACTAATACAAAAAAAAAACAGAAAAGAACAAGGTACTGAACAAAACAGTAAGTCCTACAATGAACAACAAAGCATTAGCAATCAAATATGAAAGACAGATACAATAGCGACAGCTACGCCTAGAAAAAATTTTTACCATGTTCTTCTGAAGGGGCCTTCGAGAGAAAATCTTGCTTGAAGGAGAGTCAAACCTGGCCCATTGGTCAAATGTTGCACCTGATGAATGTCAAAGGTCAACTATGGACGCGGATGCAAAAAGCTCGAACACCACACATTTATCAATAAGATTACGCTTGGATCCAAGGCGATGTGAATCAAAAACTGGCTTCTCATACCTGTTTCAGAATGGAGGGCCAAGAATTACGATCAACTTCTTGGTGGAACTGATCTAAACCTTCAACTCGAAAGACACCCTTTGTGCAGTTGACGCTGTAAATGACAGTTGCGGCCTCTGCTCGTGAGCGCACATAAGATTTCTCAGGTAGCAAGGGATCGAATGAAATAAACGATTATAAAGGAACTTATTATAATGTGAGAGGATTGATTTCGAGTATCCCTATGGAATCGCTTATGTAACAGGTAAAAAGTTAAGTCCATCATTCTAGAGAAAGCAGCAATACTTTGCTCTTTTGACCCAGAATATTTGCACCTCACTGATCAAGTATGTTGAGTGCACTCATCAATAGGATTGAATCAATGCACAAGTAGAGAGTTCTGGTCAGAAAAAAGGCCTGCCATTCTTTTAAACAGTGATGTAGTGAATCGATAGTCTCCTTTGAAATGAGCGAATTTTGGGATGAATGACTAATCTTCGATCTTCAAAGTCATCAGCATACTGTTTACGAGTCGCATGATTAGTTGAATCATAGAGAACTGACCCTACGAAAAAATTCACGTAAGATTGATGACCATGTAGGAATCCACTGCTAGCTCGAAAGTCGGCATGAGTTGGGTGTATACTTATTTGAAAAAATTTGAAATGGTAGCAGATTTCTACAACAATTTAGTGAGTTTTACGTGAATACTAAGACTACCCACTCTATATAGCAATATTCCATGAATGACTCCGTCGGAGGCTTTGTAAAGTCGAAGCAAGTTACATCGTGACACTTTCTCCACGTGTGACTCCCGAGTTAACCTTTTCATTATAACTATTTGTTTGATTAACCCCACACAAGGTTGACCAATATCGTAGTAAATGGTGAGTTGACGAATTCGTCTCCTTCAAATCCTGAACGGATGGAATTATCATAAAAGTCACAATCACTGAATACCTCACCTTACCTTCAAGTCCGATCTGATCATGCCTGAGTTTTTCCCCGAGTCCACCATTTGGCATAGTCGTACAAGAAATTGCCTTGTATTTGGGTGAAGTGACTAAGCTTAGGCATTCTATGAAACTCGAGAACGTGTGGTTCGAAATTTGATCGATATGATTCACTTTATTTCCCTTTAGTCGCCATGTACGACTCTCGATGAACCTTGTCATGATTCCAATACAACCTTATTTTATTCGAATAGAACACGAGAATAAATATTACAATTTCATCGGCGAACGTCTCGGCGATTTCCGCCTCCTTCGGAGCCTGAAAGGTGGAAACCAGTCTATGAAATATCCGACCAAATGTCTCACCCCCGGGACCTTCAAAACAATTAAGTCGTCACGTAATTAATAGTTAGATAAAAACCATACCTTCTAGATCAGCAGAGTCAGTCCGCCGGGACGACAGTAGTAGCGAATATCAGGCTGATCGGAGGTTCCGGCTGAAGGCTAGCCTTATATAGGGTGTCAGTTCCCACGTTAATGACACACATTCTCCCATCCGGTTCGTTTTTGGATGCCTGCTCCGAATCCAGAACACCTCTAGGGTTTTGCGCACGGCTGTCAGTGTTTATCGTTATCGTTCGTGTTAGGGAGCATTTAGAGGGAAAGGCGAGGTCGCGGCCATCTACAGTTCTATGTTGCCACAGGCTTGAATCTCATAACGGAGACAATTTTGGGGTCATCGTCGAGGTCGCGAGGCGGGCCAGACATCCGAAAATGAATCGGAGGAGAGAATGTGTGTCATTAAAGCGGGAACCAAGACATTTGGTGGTATAAATCATAGACTGGTTTCCTCCTTTTCAGGCTCCGAAGAAGGCAAAAATCACCGAAAGCTCAGCCGACGGAATTGTAGTATTTAACCTCGTGTTCTGTTTGAACAAAAAAATATGTTATTTCCCTTTAACTTCGTAAAGTGGTGTCGACACTTCCGCCAAAAAAATGATGATGGGGTGATTCATTTTTCTTTTCTTCGTACAATCTGATGTGATTTTCGTTCAAGAACTGAACGAAATTTAGTGCGTTTCATAATTATGGGGTCACCCTCGATTTTTGCTATTCTGAAGAGAGCAGGCAGAATGGACTTTCCGGCAAACGCTGGCAGATTCCCAATCACAACGTACCTCCGTTTCCATATTTTGCTTTGCTATAGCTTCTCCTTGTTTGAGAGCAACATCAAAGAACCTGCGTGGCATATCAGAAACTAGGTTACAGAGACGTTCCTCATCGATTGATCTCCATGCTTCGATAATCGCCCGCTTCAGCTCTTCTGTATTCTGGAGGTGAATGTTATTCGCACAAATCTGTCTGACTATTATGCCTCAAATATATTCCATCGGATGGAGATGGGGACTGCAGGCTGACCATGGCACGTTTTGGCAATGCAGCCACTCATTCGTTGCACGGCCACGTGAATGAAGACGCTGTCTTGTTGAAAGACATAATTGAGGTGAGGGACGACGGCTTAGAAAGGAAACTAGGTGATGCTCCAAGACGTTCTGGTAACCATTCTGCAGCTCACAAAGGTTAGTTCCAACACGACATCATTGCTGAATGCACCCCACACCATAAGACTTCCTCCACCGAAATTGCGACGACTGAAGTAGACTGGTTCCTTCCTCAAGTCGCGCTAGTAGTACTTGTTTCCGCTATTTAATTAAATTATTCAGCTGTACGGTGAGATATGATGCAGACCTACTTTGCCCATTTTCTCCCTAGGTTCATCTTTGCAAATTCGAATCGAGCCTCTCTGTGGCGATCTGCGATTCGTGGTGCCTCATTCATTGGTTGCCTAGTGATGTTCTCGCATCTTCTTACTGCTCTCCGGACTGTAGTTTTCGACACAGAGAGGTCTAATTCCGATCGAATATGTTTCATGGACTACGTACTGTTGAAAACAGCCCTCAGAATCCATCGCTCGCCACGGGAGTAAACTTGCGTCCAAGATCTTTCTAGCATCGATCTCATTCCCGTAGGCTAAGATTCCGCATAACCTTGATGTGCTTCTAGTCGATGCTTCCCAAGTGGTGTTAAGAGGCTTCCACCTCTTTTGCCTGCTAGATGTTCTTTGACACGTATGCCTAACATCCTCCCCGTCTTACCTGTATATATTTCACCACAGGGTGGACACTGAATTTGGTGCACTGTCCCTCGCTGTGTGAAATCTCCGTCTTTTCCAAACGGTCAAATAACACAGTTAATCGTAGAACATGCGCGATCATAAAGCCTGTTGCGGATGAGATGACGTTTGATATAGTCTGTTGGTAGCCATTCAAGTTTGCAAACTCGCAGGCTAGCCTAGGTGACTCCTCTCGCTCGACAGCGCCTGTTCACACTCCTGTAGCCGTTCTGTACATGTTACGAACTACTGCACATTTCACAGCTTCAGGGTGAGCAGACTTAGCGTGGAGTAAGATGTTCTTCGAGCTGCTCTTCCGATACTCTTCACATG